TGTGGGGCCCCTTCCCCACTCCCGGGTCACGCTGGTCCCAACGGCTGCGGACTCTGTGGGGCGCAGATTTCGCCCCGGGCGCGTGGTCCTCTCTCCAACCTGAATTGCAAACCGCACCTTTAGGGGAAGTCTAACCTTTCAGTGAGAAGAAGCAGTGCTCGTCTGAGTTCACACAGTTACGCTGCTTGAGATCCCTTGTTTCCAGGTTAGTAGCTGATCTCTGGATGCCGGTAACAGCCACTCAAGATGGCGCGGTCTCCACTGCTGAGCTGGAGCACCGGGAGAGGTTTCAGCCGCAGTCTCCAACCGTCCTTTTTTTTCCTGGGAGTTCTCTATCTTTCCCAGCTGCAGACTGTCTCTCAGCTGAATATCCTCTGCCTATTTGGGCTGTATGTTACCCGTTTCAGCTGCTCACCCTTATCTGCTCCAGGACAAGGCACAGGACATGTCCGTTTATACCTCCGCTATTTTCTCCATCTCACTTTATTCAATTCTTAACCTTGTGTTGAAAGAGCCAGGAGCTTGTAGAGAGTTGGAGACACAATATTTATCATTTAGCAGCTGAGTAGCAAGATTCAGCTTCCCTATTACTAACCTGTTGTGGGAGTAATATATGTGCATAACTCTTAGCATTGTAACTAATACATATTAGCAGCTTAGTGCATACTAATCACTGCTGGGCTAAGTAAGGGCCGATTCTGACTGACATCTGTTAACATAGAATAAGACAATGAAAATAAAATGAAGAATTTCAAGCAGTCTTTGTATGTGGTATCTGAGATGAGGATTCAGCAATTAGATGAGTTAAAAATAAAAAGGGTGGGAAAATGGAATGCAAACATAGAGCTTTCCAAAGGGGAACTATTAAGGTATTAAAGGATTAAAGCAAGAACTTTGGAAAATCAATTAAACTCACAAATACTTTTATAAAAATGAATCTACCAAAGTCAGACTGAGAAATTCCAAAAAAAAGCATAAGATTATATCACCATATAGTTTTTTATAGAAAATACTAGAGGCCCGATGCACGAAGATTCCTGCAAGAATAGGCCTTCCTTCCCCTGGCTGCCGGCACTGCCTTCACTCTGGCCCTGAGCCAACTTCCACTTCTTGCTGTGTCATGACAATTTGCATATTACCTCCTTATTGGCTGTGGGCGCTGCCATCTTTGTCATGGAGTTACAGTCAATTTGCATATTCTGTCTTTATGAAATAGGATCATTTGATATATTTTATTGATTTTTAAGAAGATAGCTCTAAGTTTTTATTATAAAACACTTTGTTAATATAAGATGAAATAAATATCAATTTCAAGATGTAAAATTCTAACTTTTCCAGTTTTCTATGAAAATTTGCTTCTTTTTAAAAATGAGTTCACCTTTTTCATTTGTTAAATTATGTTCTCATGATAGAATCTCCTGTAAAACAGTACCCTTAATGGCTGATTCCCAAATTACAAAAGAAGACTGAAGGTGTTAAAGAAAAAATACTGCAATTAGGTAGCAAATTAATCAGTAATGAAAGCATTCATAGCCTAAGGAGGGTCACAGAAGCAGTGTTACTGATGCTGGTTCTTTCTACTGTTTAAAGAGGGGGAGAACATTTAATGGGCTGGATGGTTTTCCCACTCAAATCATCACCTTGGGCAGTGCTTCATTCAATCATTCAATTAGTATTTATTAAGCTTTCAGAGTCAGGTAGGGGTCTGTTGGAGAGAGTAGTTTAGGAAAACTAAAAATCTTTATAGAGTTTATATTCTAGTAGAAGGGATAGACAATAAAATAATGTGTAAATGAATTATATACTATGTTTGCTACTAATAAGTACTTTGAGAAAAATAAGTAAATTTGTGATATATAAAATTTTGGTTTGGGCTGATTGGATATTTCCGGAATGAGCTAATTTTAGAATTGAAAAACTTCACTGAGACCGTCACTTTGGAGTCAAAACGAAAAAGAGCAGGAAATAGCCATGAAGATGTCTAGAAGGGGGTTCTTAGGACAGAGAACAGCAAATGCAAAAGCTTGGAAATAGGAGTGTGCCTGAGGTTTCCCAAGAACTGATAGCTCTGAGTGCCTGGAGGCAGGTGAGCATCCAGGAGAGATGTGGAGAGTATTATTGAAGATGTAATAGGCCGCCAACTTTCTCAAGCCTTACTTCTTTTTCTGCAAACTAATTATAAAAAGGATGTTTTCTCCTAAGGTGGTTGTAAATAATCCATGAGATCATTCTCACAAAGTACTAAGTACCCTGTAAGTGCTTACTAAATGTTAGTTCTTTGCTACTTCATGGAAATGGAGCCAAAGACCTATCATGCCAGATGCCACTAAACATTTTAATCATTTAACTGAATCCCCTTTACTTGACTCCATGACTACATGGAGACCATTGAATTATAATTTTATTTTTTTTATGGTTTTACCTCCAGGGGAGAATAAACCAGTTTTGCTAATGTAGGTGTTCTAAATTAGATGCCAGTAGAGCTCCCTTTATAAATTGACAAATTTTCTGCCTTGCCATTAATAGCCTAATTAATGTGAATTTACCCATGAGAAACAGAGCTACTCTCATATTTTACTTGCAAAGTTGGATTTCTTATGGAGATCACCTCATTTTCTACCATAGAAAATTCCCTAAGGTGATTCAGCTCAGGGATGCAGCCTAGGGGAAAACCAGTGAGACTCTCTTGGCTACATTCATCCCATCTCTTTTTCTATTTGAGTGTTGCATTTACATAATCATTAGTTACACTTCCTCAATACTATCACATATATCATCTCTTGTCATCTTCTACATTTTTTGTGAGAGTGCAAAACAGCTACTATTACTGCTATTTTACAAATGCTGAATGCAGAGATAGAGATGAAGAGATGGATTTGTTCCTGGGTTCAGATACTCAGACTCCTCAACATGTGCTCTTCTACTGCTCGAAATAAGAAAACCTGGGTTTTAGTCTTAGATTGCCAGCCAACAGATACTGGTATATGGTCCTGAAATATCCCTCTTCTTTGGGTCTCTTTCCTCAGGGAGATGGAACATATGACCTATAATATCCTTTCTAATATAAATATCCTACCTTAGGGTAAGAATGAAATAATCAAATGAAAAGAACATATAGAGAAGAAATTCAATTAGACCAGAAATTAACATAATAATACAAATACACGTTAAATCGGAACAGAAACAGCTCTGTCATACACAACCTATGAATAGGGAGTTGAGGAGGTGGGAAGAACAGGGGAAGACAGGTTCTAAACATTTATATTTAACAAAGAGATCCCAGACACAATGACAGTATTTTTATACTTTCCCCTTAGGGTTTTTTTATGGGAAATAAGTAAAGTATAATAAAATTTATGAATTAATAAATCACAAATTTAATTAATAGAACAAATACTTTTCTTTTTTAAAAAAATATATTTTATTGATTTTTTTTTTGCAGAGAGGAAGGGAGAGGGATAGAGAATTAGAAGCATTGATGAGAGAGAAACATTGATCAGCTGCCTCCTGCACACTCCCCACTGGGGTTGTGCCCGCAACCAAGGTACATGCCCTTGACCAGAATCGAACCTGGGACCCTTCAGTCCACAGGCCAATGCTCTATCCACTGAGCCAAACCGGTTAGGGCTAGAACAAATACTTTTCAACCAAAGCCTGACTGACCTAATATAAAATTATATTGAATATGAATTAAAAAATAAAATTAAAAAAAATTACACAGCAAAATCATTTCATAAAAATAAAAATTGCCCTGGTTGGTGTGACTCAGTTGGAGTGTCATTCTGTAAACCAAAAGGTTGCGGGTTTGATTCTGGTCAAGGCACATACCCAGGTTGTAGGTGTAATCACTAGTCGGGCACCTCTGGGAGGCAACCAATCAATGTTTTTCTCTCACATAAATGTTTCTCTCTCTCTCTCTCTCTCTCTCTCTCTCTCTCTCTTTCTTTCTTCCACCCCCCCCCTCTTCCTCTCTCTCAAATCAATGCATGTCCTTGGTTGAGGATTAAAAATAAATAAACAAAAATGTTAAAAGTAAATACATAACAATGTTTTCCAGGTTTTTTTAATTACATTTTTGGAGTTATATTATCCTACAAATTTATGAATTATTTGCTACAACAGTGCTGTCCTCCTTAGTTGCCATCATGAAATTCACCATGGTTTATTTGTGTTGGAGGCTCCTGTCTCTTATCTCCTGGTTCACTGATATGTGTTTTAAGACATGTTGGAGGGTCTTGAGGACTTCAACAGTCCAAGTCCCTCAGAATTTCTACCCTGTCATCTTCAGAGGAAACTGTGCTGCGTCTTACAAAATCACCCTCACTAGTACAGAGAAGTGGCAGAGAGAAGGAGGACAGTCACTCACCTCATCATATTTGTCAGAATATGTTCTAAAAGTTTGACTTTTTTTGTTTTTGTTTGTTTTTATTTTCCTGATGAACCCACACCGACCATTTGAAAACAATAAAGATTTCAAGAACTACAATTTTCCTGCTCCGCACTATGGGGATGCTTCAGTTAAATGCATGCATTTGGGTCAAGATAAGTGAAATGATCACAAATTAATGCCACCTGTTTCAAGCTGACATAGGAACACTCTTCAGTTTCCCATGCATTCAAATGTCATTTCTCACTGCAAGCATACTACTGCACTTAAAATCATGGTAGGACCCTCTGATTGCGGCAAGGAGGAGACAAAGAATCACTTATTCCATAGAGAACATGTCTATTGGTACATAAAGCAGCCTTGTTTTTGTTTTCTTTGTTTTTGTTTTTTTTGTTTGTTTGTTTTTAGTAGCCTACTTTTAGTTATATTTCTGGTAGAGAGTGATGTAACATTGATTATTTACTAATAGAATCAGAGTATAAAAGACTGTGATTCACTCCACTACAATAATGACAGCATTAATGCCTCTTTGTACTGATATTTGAGATTTTCTCCTTCGCCTTCTTAAGATGTCAGATTCATTAAAGCATCATTTAAATTTTTTTGACTTTAGATAATCAAGATAAATGTAGAACATTCACATAATAAATGAGCCTATGGAAGCCACGGAAACTAAATTAGTCACATCACTGGATTCCACTCCCCATCTGCTTCTGTAGTTCACTGAGGATGTAAGTTTTAAAACCTGAATTATTTTACACTATTTTAATATTTTCATTACAACTGAATATTCATAGATGTTATTATACTTTGGATTCTTCATTGTTCATTTGTTATTCAAATAAATGAAAGCTATTTTCCATTGAATTTCCTTTGAAATGGGTTGCTAATGATTATAAGAAAATTATGAACAAAAATAAGTACACCAAAGTAAAATAATGAAATAAGTTTAATTACTTTAACATGTTCATTTATTTTTACAAAGATAAATAAGGGACGAGCAGAACAATGAAAAAAATTATTATGTGAAGACTAGAAAAGATTGGAAGGAAAAGAAAATGGCATTTACAAAAATGTACACACACTTTAACAGCTAATAGGTAAATTCTGAAAATGAAAATTTTGCCTTTATAATTATTCAAAGTGTACGTATACATTTTTGGGGGACACCCAATACATGTAGCATGGAAGATATTAGGGAGCTCATGTAATCTCACTTGCTTTTAAACTTTCACCAAGTGCATGAGAGATGGGTTAACTGGGAGACTGTACATATGTGCACATGGTCATTCAGATACTCTATTTAAATGTTTTCAATACTTTTTAAACTAAATAAAGAATAGTTTCCAGTGTCCAGTTCAATGACTATCATGGAAGAAACTCAACTGAAATAAGCATTTGACATAACCTCCTTTACTCTTTCAGAGTAAGGACATTAAGTGATATGTTCATTGGAAATGCCACTGCAAAAAAAGAGACTAGAATCACAGAATTCACAGTGTCACCATACTTAGACTTGATGAAGTTTATTTGTAATATCTTCTTAAAGGTGAGATGTATAATTATTTGATTAAGCAAAGACAGAGCAGCTTTTGGAATATCATATTGCTTTTAATATTTAAGTTAGACTATTTGGGCCAGGAGGGCAGCAATTAATGTTTTTCATCAATGCTTCTTAATTTTTTGGAATTGAGCTTTATCATTGTTTATTAGATCATCCAAAGCTCTGGGAATAACTATTTGTAAAGCCTATTAAAAATTTACAGGGAATTAAGAGATTTGTTTTGAATATTTGCAATTTCTTTTGGGCATCTTAAGAATCTCTAAAACAAGATTAGGATTCACACTTTTATTACTTTGAGACATTTAAAAATATCGATACCAAAGATAAAAATACCAATTTTATTCTACTGGATTATAATTTCAATAGTCTCTTGCTTTCCATTGCAAACACATTCATAAGTCACTAGGTACTTACTTCTAGACTGCAGACTTTCCTACAGAGATAATTTTTGCAAAACTGAAATAAAATGATCCCTGATTTTCCTGTTATTAAAAGCTTCTGTACAAAAACCACAAACCTAAAGAAAGGAAAATCAACTAAAATAAATATGTGCTACAAAGGGAGCTTTAGCTCGCATTCTAGTCATTTAGACAAGATTTAATGCCACCATTGATTTACACCATGTATTGTAGTTAAGATAGTAATTGCTACATTAAAGTTTATAGTATCCCTAGTATCTCTGAAAGATGTTCTTTTTAAGACATGACTATGCACTAATAAAGCATCAGGCTATTGCTATTTATTTTTGTTGTATATTGCTTTTTACAGAGTATTTTTGTTAACAAAATGTGATCATTTTTTTCAGAGTTTTAACACTCCAAATCTTTCTACAGAACCATTTCATAGATCCATTAAAATGTTATAATCCAAATATAGTTTTAGCCTAGTATGTACCAAGTACTATGAATACTACAAGAAAGTCAGAAATTAATAAAACATGACCCTATCCTCAAAGAGTTGATAGTCTCTTAGACTAAATACAAACAGGTAGCCCTGTAGTTACAGTGTAATGTGTCACTAGCAGTAAATGCAGTGTGCTAGAGAATGAATGGGAGCACCAAAATGCGTGGTCTAGAAAGGAAGGCATGCATCCTGACTTGGCAAGGACTCTGAGTGGCCAAGCTCAGGTTCCATGGGCTTTGGAACCTGTAGGTGAAGGTGCATTCAGGGAAGGATGCGAATGCCATGGAACCATATAAAGTGCAGGGCCCAGAGAATGGCCTCTCATGCTGTAACTAAGAGTAGTAGAGGGATATGCTTTGACCAAGGTACTACTGAAGGTAGAAGACAAATTCTCCTCTTTTCATTCCCTTGGGAAACAATGACCCTGAAACCATAATTCATACACCCTTTGAAATCCATGGGTTAAGCAAACACGTGCTCTTTATATCAAGGGATAGTCAGTGATCATCCTCAGATTGGCTCTCATTTCTTCTGCCATTTTACTCATCGTTTCCCTCACCTGAGTTTGCCTGCAGTTGCATTCCCTAATAATATAGCAGATTATTTTGGCCTGCGGGTCTGCTATCTGAGGCCCCACATGGAAACATATTTTAAGCAGAGGAATAGGATAATTGGATTTCCCCCCTGATGTGTAAATGTATTTATTCATCCATTCAGCAAATATTCCATGACTACCTTTTGGATAAAGTCAGTGTGCAAAGTATTGAGGACATATAAATAAGGCAGACCCTTCTGTCTTAAAGCATATTCGATGTGGGGAACAGAGAAGTTAACTGGCAGTTATGATAGAATGTGGTATTTGCTGCAGTGGTAAAGTACAAGTCTCTTTTGGAAAGCATAATGATACCAATCCATTCTTCTAGCCTGATGGCAAGTTTCCCTCAGGAAATAAGAAGGACTCTTCTAATCAATGACTGGGTTCTTTCATCACTGACATTCATTCCCTTCTCCTTTTTCATTCATATTTACAATTTGTTATACCTTCCAATGTGTCAAGCTCTCCATCTCTTGTATTGTTTCTTCGATCTGAGATATTTTTGTGCAATCTCCAATCCCCATGGACTAATTCCAACTCCTCCTTTCCATTTCTAGAAACCTAATAGAAGATCCTAGGAAAATGGACAGAGGCCATCCCATAGAGGAAATGGTGTGCTAATGTTAAGTGTTTGGACTTTACCCAGAAGGGTGAATGAAATTGTATGATTAGATTTGCAGTTAAAGAGTATTCCGGCTGCAGCATAGTGGATAAAATGTAGTGAAGTAACCCTGGAGGGGGAGAGAGCAGCTGAGAGCCTGAAGCAATATGCCAGGTGAGAGAGGATATTGACAGCATGGAACTGAGCTTTGTAGGCATTTGAAAAATATTTTGATGGTGTAAATACAGCCATGTGCTGTATAACAGCGTTTTGGTCAATGATGGATCACATATGCAATGGTTGTCCCATCTATATAAATAAACAGGGAATATGCTAATTAGCCGAGCATCACCACCACTCAGGAGGAGCTGTGCATGCAGATGGGCGGGAGGGGACTGCATGCCGCCCCCACCTCAGTGACCAGGGGAGGCTGAGGCTGGTGCTGGGGGCGGGCCAGAGCAGAGACACAATCCACAGGAGTGCCTGCCCCCACCCCAGCCGACACAACGTGGTGGCTGGGGCTATGCAGGTCAGACGTGAGTCCTGGACCCCACAGGTTGCCTCCTGGCAAGGCGGGAAGCGGCTCCTCCTGCAATTTCAATTGCGCATTGGGCCTCTAGTAAGATTATAATGGAGCAAGGGACTTTGTAACCATTTGACCTTGTAGCCATGGTAAAAGTCATAAAACAATGCTTTACTCACGTGTCTGTGGTGACGCTGGTATAAACAAATATCCCACATTACCAGTCTTTAAAAGTGGTAGCACATTCAATTATGTATAGTACATAATACTTGATAATGATAATAAATGACTATATTACTGATTTATGTATTCATTATACTAAACGTTTTATTGTTACTTATAGTGTACTCAATCTCCTTATTAAAAAGTGTTTCCTGTAAAACAGTATGCTATATTATGCAGCTGGCAGCCTCATACATTTTGTGTTTACCACATCACTTGATTGCATCATTTTCTCTTGTGCTGGATTTAAAATGGTATTGTTTTGTACAGTCACATGCTGTACAGGCTTGTAGCCTAGGGACAATAGGCTATATGCCATATAGCCTAGGTGTATAGTAGGCTAATTAATCTATGTTTGTATAAGTGCAATGTATAGTGTTGTGTAAGTACAGACAAAGGTGAAATTGCCTAATGATGTATTTCTCAGAACTATCCCAGTTGTTACAGCATGAGTTTAATAGGAAAAGGTGAAATAAAGAAGGAAAAGCAAAGAGCTAAGGAAAGGTTAATTGTCACACCCAGTTTGCACCTTAGGAATCTTGTTAGATATAGGGCAATTTAATGAGGTTTTTCTTGCCAAATAAACATTTTGTTCCTAAATATGGGAATTCTTTTTTTGTTTGTTTGTTTTCATTGAATTTAGGTAGGGACCACAGGAGAAAGAATAAGTTTGTGAGAAATACTGAAAGGAGTTGGTGTCATGTCAGCCACGGTTCAAGATGTAAACATCCCTAGGAACTGATGTCAACTTAGAAAGTTTGGGGAGTTTGGAGTTCTATTCTCATATTTCTCTGAGCTTAGCAAACTGAGGCTCAAAAGAGAAACAACAAAAGATTAAAATATAGGATATATAAGAAAAAACTAGGCTTACAGGTATTCATATGGAAAATAATACAATAATTACTAAAAATAATACAAAAATAAACTCACATGCTCACAACTGTAAACCTACTTTTGCCCAACCCTGTCTGACTTCTAACTAATTTATGTAATAGTGTTGTATAGTACACAATCATTCCAAAACTTTAATCTCCCTAGGAAAAGCAGCTAGGGAGTACCACCAAGAAAGGGGGGGTGGGGTTGGTGGTAGTCCAAGGTTTTACTCCTTGGATATTTTTCCCACCTGTTGCCAGTGTAGACTTTAGAACTCAGTTACAAAGAATTATATATACAGAGAACATACCCTTCCAGTGGCAAGGAAAATCAGTGATTTGGAATGTATTGGCTGGAAGCAAAAGCCATCCAATTTGAACAGCAAAAAGAAAAAAGAATCCTCCCAAAATGAGAATAGTGTAAAGAGCCTCTGGGACAATTTCACGCATATCATCATTCACATCATAGGTGTGCTGAAAGGAAAAGACATTGAAACATATTTGAAAAAAATAATGACAGAAAACTTCCCTAACTTTTGAAGGAAATAGACATACAAGTCCAAAAAGTGCGTAGAGTCCCAAACAAGATGAACCTAAAGAGGCCCACAGCGAGATACATCATAATTAAAATGCAGAAGGTTAAAAACAAAGAGAGAATCTTAAAAGCAGAAAGAGCAAAATAGTTATCTACAAGAGTGCTTCCATAAAAGACTGTTAGCTGATTTCTCAACAGAAACTTTGCAGGCCAGAAGGGAGTGGCAAGAAATATTCAAAGTGATGAAAAACAATGACCTACAATCAAGATTACTCTACTCAGCAAAGCTATTATTTAGAATAAATAGACAAAGAGTTTCCAAGATAAGAAAAAAATAAAAGATTATCACTACCAAACTGGTATCACATGAAATTTAAAGGATCTTCTTTAAGAAAAAGAAAGATAAAAAATATGAACAATAAAATGGCAACAAATACATATCTACCAACAACTAAATCCAAAAAACAAAATAAACAAGAAGGACAGAAACAGATTTATACAGACAAAATTTTGATGGTTGCCAAGTGGGAAGTGTGTTGGGGGCATGGGTGAAAAAGGTAAATTGATTAATGAGTAAAAATCGGTGGTTACATAATCGTCTGGGGTGTGTGCATAGAGAATATAGTCAATAACATTCTAATAACTATGTATGGTGTCAGATGTGTGCAAGATTTAGTGGGATGATCTCTTATTAAGTTATTTAATGTCAAATCACTGGGTGTACACCTGAAACTAATATAATATTATATGCCAACTGTAATGGAAAAATTAAAAAATGATATGAAAATAAAAAGAAAATATTGCCTATTGATAATTTCATATGAATGCTCAAAAGCTAGGGGAAACAATTTAGAGGCTGTGATAAAAGGGGAGATCAAATTTATCTTAGAAAAATTAATAGTAATGACAGAGGATATATTTAATGCTTTCTATCTCTTAGATATTTACCAATCTACTTATATAAAAACCCTGGGTGTAATAGCACGTCCAGAAGCGCGACCAAGTGGAAAGAAGTCAGTCCTGCAGGGGTCCTCTTGGAAATGGCTGTGCCCTCTTCCAGTTGTTTCCCAGAGGGAGAGGTTTCGGGCAGGAACCTGGCCTCAGTGTGAGGTTTCAGGCAGGAACCCGCCCTCAGGGCAAGGTTTCAGGCAGGAACCTGCCCTCAGAGCCAGAGCATGGAAGTACTGAGTCTGGCCTTCAAACCACACCCTGACAGTAGGGAGGAGGCAGCCCCATTCCTCACAGAGTCTGCTGTTGGATAGCTTGCTGTCAGTGGCCTGCCAGCCAGGAACCCCATTCATGTGCACCCCGGACCCTGACAGGAGGGAGGAGGGAGTCCCATTCTTCACGGAATCCACAGCTTGCTGTCAGGGGCCTGCCAGCTAGGAATCGTATTCACCTGCATATCTGTATAAAGTTTTAATACATTATATTAATGGTCGTGGTGGTACTGTTTTACCCACAGCGTCTACAGGAATTGCTGCAAATTTACTTCTCGGTGGAAGCACCTTTCATTCCCAATATAAATTACCAATTCCATTAAATGAAACTTCAATTTCTAGACTCACTATAAAGAGTGAAGTTGCTAAAACTATTAAAAGGCCCAACTTCTCATTATTGGTGAATGCGCCATGGCATCCAGTCATGCTATAAATGCCATAGACAGATTACTAAGAGAAATTTGAATGTTGTATTTGGTGGGAAAGTTCTTCTTGGAGGGGATTTATGACAATGTCTCAGTATTGTACCACATGCTATGTGATCGGCCACAGTACAAACAAGTTTAAAATACTGCAATGTTTGTGGATGTTTCAGAAAGTTGTCTCTTACAACAAATATGAGATCAGATGATTCTGCTTATAGTGGATGGTTAGTAAAACTTGGTTATGGCAAACTTGATAGAAGTTTTCATTTAGGAATGGATAATATTGAAATCCCCTGTGAAAAGATTTGTACTGGCTCTATTATTGAAGCTACCTTTGGAAATACTATATCTATAGATAATATTAAAAATATATCTAAACGTGCAATTCTTTGTCCAAAAAATGAGCATGTTCAAAAATTAAATCAAGAAAATTTGGATATACTCGATGGAGATTTTCACACATATTTGAGTGATGATTCCATTGATTCCACAGATGATGCTGAAAAGGAAAATTTTCCCATTGAATTTCTTTTTTTTTTTAAATTTTGTTTTATTGCTTAAACTATTACAAAGAGTAGTACATATGTCTCCTTTTTTTCCCCCTTGACCTTCCCCCGGCCTCCCCGACCCCCCAGTGTCTTGTGTCCATTGGTTATGCTTATATGCATGCATACAAGTTCTTCAGTTGATCTCTTACCCCCTCCCCCCCAACCCTCCCCGGCCTTCCCACTGTAGTTTGACAGTCTGCTTGATGCTGCTCTGCCTCTGTATCTATTTTTGTTCATCAGTTTATAATGATCTTTATTGTCTATAAATGAGTGAGATCATGTGGTATTTTTCTTTCATTGATTGGCTTATTTCACTTAGCATAATGCTCTCCAGTTCCATCCATGCTGTGGCAAATGGTAAGAATTCCTTCTTTTTTACAGCAGCTTAGTATTCCATTGTGTAGATGTACCACAGTTTTTAATCCACTCATCTGTTGATGGGCACTTAGGCTGTTTCCAAATCTTAGCTATTGTAAATTGTGCTGCTATGAACATAGGGATGCATATATCCTTTCTGATTGGTGTTTCTGTTTTCTTGGGATATATTCCAAGAAGTGGGATTACTGGGTCAAGTGGGAGTTCCATTTTTAACTTTTTGAGGAAACTCCATACTGTCTTCCATAGTGTCTGCATTCCCACCAGCAGTACATGAGTGTTTCCCTTCCTCCGCATCCTCTCCAGCACTTG